CAGGAGGTGCAGTAAGCCGAGATCCCGCCACTGCTCTCCAGCCTGGGCAACAAAGGAAAACAGTGCCTGAGAGCACAGACTCCCTGCTCATACTATCTGCTTTGTTCAGCTAGGCTGCATAACTGTGGGCTGTTTTCCCATCTCTAAAATAGGGGTAAAAATAGTATCCATGTCATAGTGTGGTTATGTGGATCAAAGTGATGCTGTACCCATGAGTCTTAACACTTAATTCATTAGGCAATGACTTCCATTATGATGGTTTTCAATATTTTTTTCTATTTTTTTTTTTAAGAGACTAAGTCTTGTTTTGTCACCCAGGCTAGAGTGCAGTGGCTCAATCATAGCCCACTGCAGCCTTGAACTCGGGGGTTCCAGCAATCCTCCTGCCTCAGTGTTGGTTTCAATTTTAAAGAGCTTTGGTACAGAAAGGCACAAAGGAGGACATGAAGTCACCCATACCTCATTCCCTAGAATTCACCATTGTAAAAATTGTGATGTAAATCTCATATTCTCCTCTCTGTACCTCTCTGTGCTTTGTTCTTTCAGCATCTGTATGATCGTTTTCCCATGCCTGTAAATAGTTTTCTTTTTTTTTTAAGAAAGCATATTTATAACAACCTATAGAGCTCTGTGCACTGTAATTTATTTAGGGTCCCTGTTTTCGCCCAATTTTTTCCTTTTTTATTTTTCTGTTATAAATGCTATGAGGAATCATCTTATGTCTCCATGCATTGCTTGGGTTGTTTCCTTAGGATGAACTCCTGGAACCGGGAATTGCCGAGTCAAGGGGTAGGCACTTGCATTTTTGAGGCCTTTGATGTATGCTGCCTGGTCGCCTGTGGGAAGGCGGTGTTCTCTGCCTCCCCTCCGGCAGAGCAGGGGATCACCCAGGGAAACAGGTATCCTCGCCTACCGGCTGATGTCTCTCGGGTGATCCCGCATGGCATATGTGTGGAGGCAACAGTTTCTCACTGTCTCTCTTCTCTGTTTTTCCTCCCTTCCCCTTTGTTTCCCTTCTTGGTTTCCTACCAGACAGGCTCTTGTGAAAGGACCGCCTAATTAACCCTGTGCTAATTAACAATTTAAAATTACACAGTGCGACTGTTCATGTTTAATTCTCCGGGAGATGGAGCAACAGCAGGAACCCCCTCCCCTTCGTCATCACCACACCCCTCCCCTCCCACCCCAGCTTCCCTGAAACTGTTACATTTTACCCAGTCCTGCCTTAAAGGAAAAGGATAAAACTGTTGTAAGTGCATGTTTTTAATGAGGGAGGAGAATATTTTAATTAATAGGGAGTTACAGGGTAACAGGGTAGTGTTTTATCCTTTCAAACAATCTTTGAAAAGTAAAGATTGATATTGGCAAAGACGGAGTGGGCTTTACAGGTGGTTCCAAGGGAGCTTGGAAGATGAGTAGGGGTCCGGAGGGGGTGCTTGGTGAAGGTGTTAGAATTTTTCTGTACTAGATTACCTTTCAGATGGCAGCTGTTAAGTGCTAAGCAGAGAGAACGAGCAAGCTAGGTCATTCTTATAGCTTCCCTTTAACTTTCTCATTGAAGAGATGTTCTCTATTAAAATCTATCTGAGGCCAGGCGTGGTGGCTCATGTCTGTAGTCACAGCACTTTGGGAGGCTGAGGCTGGTGGATCACCTGGTCAGGAGATTGAGACCATCCTGGCCAACATGGTGAAACCCCGTCTCTACTAAAATACAAAAAATTAGCTGGGCTTGGTGGTACATGCCTGTAGTCCTAGCTACTCAGGAGGCTGAGGCAGGAGAATCGCTTGAACCTGGGAGGTGGAGGTGGCAGTGAGCTAAGATCACACCACTGCACTCTAGTGTGGTGACAGAGTGAGGCTCTGTCTCAAAAAAAAACCAACTAACTGAATTCTTAAATAAAGCCTGTGTTAAGTACAACACTGGGGGCTGTGGGTAGAATACCTGGACATTTTTTAGAGGGAGTTCCGGGTATCATCACCAGCTGAGAAGGGGGCTTCAGGAAGGGTGGAGGGGTGTGAGTCTGTGCGTGCTGCCCTGGCACTAGGAAAGCATTGGGAAGGGGCACAGAGCCTGGGAGGAGCCTGAAGAGAGGCGCACTTGTCAGGATGGTAGGGCTGCTTGGAAAAGCGCGGGGACCCACTGGATTCCCAGGCTGCCCTCTGTAACTGAAGACCATTGATTTTACGGGAAACCATGTTTACAGACAGAGTGCTGATCGACCTGCGGAGTTGACTTCTGCCTTCTTAAGTAAGAACTACCTTTTTTCTTATTGACTGGCTGATAAACAGAGTGAGAGAGAAACAGCCGGCTGTGTGGGAGAGTGGTAGATGCCTTGAGACCCTCAAGCCACAGGATGGGGCAGGTTGGAGAGACTTCTTGATCTCTGTACACAGGTCCCCGTCTTCTCTGTCTCCATCCCTGTACCTCCCAGGGGCCAGGGGGAGTCTAAGACAGACCTTCCTTGGTTTCCCAGCAATACAGGTATGAAGCACAGAAGAGCTGTGCTCAGAGAGTGTCTCAAGTTGAGTGCGCGGTCCCTGAGGATGCTATGAAAATGCAGATTTCCTTGGGGCAGGAGAGAGTGTGTGTCTCACAAGCTCCCTGGAGAGGATAATGCCACAAGTCCATGAACTATGCTTTGTTTGGCAAGGTTGCAGACTGGCCTGCTGGTTGTAGCCAGTGTGCATGGAAGGAGGCCCAGAGGAGGTAGGTTGAGTCCTGAATTGGGTCCCTCCTCTCCCACCTGCATCCTCATGGTGCCTCTCCCTATGGATGAGTGGGCTCTGGCACCACCACCACGGGGTCACCAGCCACCATCATGGGTGGGTACGATGTCATTCTTTCTTGACATCTTCTGCTTTGGAGTAGAAAACAAAGTAAGGGAGGTTTTTAAACTCCTAGCCCCTTAGCCGGATAGTTTGTGGAAGAGGAGGAGGAATAAGAGAACAGAGAAAGAAAAGCCCACCAATTAATTGGTAAACGCTTGCAGATTTCTCTGACCCAGCCAGGCTGGAGAGGAGATTGGCTTTGCTGTCGATAAACAAGTCCCTGGTGCAGCATCAAAGCTGTTCTCCTTTATCAATCGCGGCCCCCCCTTCCCGCATGTTCCTGTAACTTACCAAGCATTTATGACATTGATTTTACAATCGGGCTGTTAACCCTCCCGCCCCTTCAGGCCTGCCAACCTTTTTGGCCCAAGCTGTCAATCAGATGTCGTCCAGCCAGTCAGAAGCATCCCTTAAGAAGAGCCACCCTGGAGTCTCACCTGTATCCTGGCTCAGCCTTTCGGGGAAGTCTCATTGCGTTTGCTGTTTGCTTTGGTTTAGTGCCTGTTTTCAATCAGTATGTCCTTTCTAAGGGGCACAGAACTTTGTGGTTGCAAAATCTGAGGTTATAAACAGAGAGATAGGAGTGTGTTTGCATGTGTGTATGAGACACAGCATGGCTTCAGTCTTCCAAAAAGTTATTTCTCCTGAGACTTCTGGTAAACCTGCCTTCCCCATCATTTCCCGAGGGGGAGCTGTTGGCTCACTGTGCAGTCAAGAATCAAGAAATGGAAAAAAAAAAGATTGAGAAGATGGGGGCTATGGGGGAGGGAAGTGAGATCAAGCCTGGCTGAAACCTTTACCAGCCGGGTATGAATGAGATGGTGGGTGGAGAAGCAGCCACATGTTCTCCAGGAGGAGCAGCAGGGGAAGGGTAGCCGGGGACCTACGGGTGAACGATTAGGGCGCTGTAAGGTGCTGAGCTGCCTGTAGGAGCAGGGCCAGATGGAATAATCACCCCTGCGATGATGTTACTGCCGGAGCAGAGTGGCTGTGATCCGATGCCTCCCTCCCTAGGGACGTGAGGTCTCAGAGGGCACATTCAGCTCAGTGGCACTTTGGAGTCGGAAATGGAAAAGCCCCAGGGCTGAAGGACAGCTGGTTGGGCAGCAACTAATAACTAAGAGGCAGGTGTGGAGCCCGGTCTCTCTGAGCCCAGCTGCTGTCTCGGCTTGCTGCTCAGATCTTTGATAGCAAAAAACACCAAGCACGTGGGGAACGTGCTCCTTTCAGCCAGGGCCAGATAGAAGCTGCTGGAGTGGAGAGTTGGTGGATCCAGAGGCTGGTCCACTGCTGCTGGAATACCAAGCTCATGTTTTGCACCTACGTAGTTTTAGAGTGAAGTCAGCTGAGTCCCACAGGCCAGGGAGCGTGACTGGCAGGGGTGGAGGAGACAGGAATCTGGGGACTCATCTTCTGTTTCACGGTAGTCAGGTTAGTACTGGGCCAGTTTTTAGATTTAAGCCCCTCCGTTTTACTCCCTGTAAAATGGGACCAATGCTTCCCAGACGTCGAGAGGATTTTGCAGTGTGTCCAGGCCTGCACGCCTGCTCCGTGAACCTCAGGGTCCTCACCCACCTTCTTGGAACTACTCAAACTAGAACCATGGTCAGAAACACGACGGCAGCAACTTTTCTAAATCCATGAGTGTATTCCACTTGACCATCCTTTTTCTGGGGACATTGAACCTCTTCTCAGCCCTCCCCTGTGTTCCCCTGATCCACAGACAGTGTGGGGAGCCGGGGCTGACTTCGCGTGGTCTGTCCGTAGTGCCAGGGCTGTGACTGTGACCTCATGGGGGGCTGGAGAGATGATGTGTTCATTCTCTACGGTGGCCCATCAAAGCTTTGCTGGCAAAGAACGGAAATTCCTGCTAGTCCTGGGGCAGAGTGATGACAGTTCGAAGCCAAAGAGGCCTGCTCCTGGTCCTCTTTCCCCATGTCCCCCGCTCATTCGTGGACATGGCTGTGCCACGCCTGTGTGCTGGACGGTGCGGGGCAGTGTCCCCAGGCCCGCCCTCCACCCCATGTCTCCGCGTTGTGGGTATTGTGGACAGAAGCAGCCTCTTAGAGTGCTCCGTGCGGTGGGACCTCAGCCTCGGCCCTCCTAACCTCTTTCCTTTCTCTCTCTCTTTCCCCCCTCTCCCTCCTCCCCCCCTTGCCTCCGCCCTTCAGGTCCGATCCTCCGTACTGGGTGCAATGAAAGCTCCACGCAGGCCTTACCATGGAAGGCTGTGACTCGCCTGTCGTCTCGGGGAAGGACAATGGGTGCGGTATTCCTCAGCACCAGCAATGGACTGAACTCAACAGCACCCACCTCCCTGACAAACCCAGTAGCATGGAGCAGTCCACAGGCGAGAGCCACGGGCCCCTGGATAGCCTGAGGGCCCCCTTCAATGAGCGCCTGGCGGAGAGCGCTTCATCGGCTGGGCCCCCCGCCGAGCCTGCCAGCAAGGAGGTCGCCTGCAACGAGTGCTCGGCCTCCTTCGCCAGCCTCCAGACCTACATGGAGCACCACTGCCCTGGCGCGCGCCCCCCGCCACCCCTGAGAGAGGAGAGCGCCAGCGACACCGGCGAGGAGGGGGACGAGGAGAGTGATGTGGAGAACCTGGCCGGGGAGATTGTGTACCAGCCAGATGGCTCTGCCTACATTGTGGAGAGCCTGAGCCAGCTGACCCAGGGCGGGGGCGCCAGTGGCAGCAATGGCAGCAGTGGCAGTGGGCCTCTCCCCTCGCTCTTCCTGAACTCTCTCCCCGGCGCGGGGGGCAAGCAAGGGGACCCTTCGTGTGCTGCACCCGTGTACCCGCAGATCATCAACACTTTCCACATAGCCTCATCCTTCGGGAAATGGTTTGAGGGCCCAGACCAGGCTTTCCCGAATACCTCAGCCCTGGCGGGGCTCAGCCCCGTCCTGCACAGCTTCCGCGTGTTTGACGTGCGACACAAAAGCAACAAGGATTACCTGAACAGCGACGGTTCTGCCAAAAGCTCCTGCGTAGCCAAAGATGTCCCCAACAATGTGGACCTGTCCAAATTCGACGGCTTCGTGCTCTATGGCAAGAGGAAGCCCATCCTGATGTGTTTCCTGTGCAAGCTCTCCTTCGGGTACGTCCGTTCGTTTGTGACCCACGCGGTGCATGATCATCGAATGACCCTGAGCGAAGACGAGCGGAAAATTCTTAGCAATAAGAACATCTCCGCTATCATCCAAGGGATCGGCAAAGACAAGGAACCCCTTGTAAGTTTTCTGGAACCAAAAAACAAAAACTTTCAACACCCTTTAGTTTCCACAGCTAACCTCATAGGCCCCGGACACAGTTTTTACGGTAAATTTAGTGGCATTCGCATGGAAGGGGAGGAAGCTCTCCCAGCCGGCTCTGCTGCGGGCCCCGAGCAGCCCCAGGCTGGTCTCTTGACCCCCAGCACCCTGTTGAACCTTGGTGGGCTCACCAGCTCGGTCCTGAAGACCCCCATTACCTCAGTCCCCCTGGGGCCTCTGGCTTCCAGTCCTACCAAATCCTCAGAGGGCAAGGACTCTGGGGCAGCAGAAGGAGAGAAGCAAGAAGCAGGCGACGGGGACTGCTTCTCTGAGAAAGTAGAGCCAATCGAAGAGGAGGCGGAGGAGGAAGAGGAGGAGGAAGAGGCGGAGGAGGAGGAGGAAGAGGAGGAGGAGGAGGAAGAGGAGGAGGAAGACGAGGGTTGCAAAGGACTCTTTCCCAGCGAGTTGGATGAGGAACTGGAGGACAGGCCCCACGAGGAGGCTGGGGCCGCGGCAGGTAGTAGCAGCCAAAAGGACCTTGCTCTCTCAAACCAAAGCATTCCTAACTCCCCCTTAATGCCTAACGTGCTCCAGACCCTGTCAAGGGGCACAGCTTCTACTAGTTCTAGTTCTGCTTCTTCCTTTGTTGTCTTTGATGGTGCGAACAGGAGGAATCGTTTAAGCTTTAACAGTGAGGGCGTCAGGGCCAATGTGGCAGAGGGCGGCAGGAGGCTGGACTTCGCTGATGAAAGTGCCAATAAAGACAATGCCACAGCACCAGAACCAAATGAAAGCACAGAGGGCGACGATGGGGGCTTCGTCCCCCATCACCAGCACGCTGGCTCCCTCTGCGAGCTTGGGGTGGGGGAGTGCCCCTCGGGGAGTGGCGTGGAGTGCCCCAAATGTGACACGGTCCTGGGCTCCTCCCGCTCGCTGGGCGGCCACATGACCATGATGCATTCTCGTAACTCGTGCAAGACACTCAAGTGCCCCAAGTGCAACTGGCACTATAAGTACCAGCAGACCCTGGAGGCGCACATGAAGGAGAAGCACCCGGAGCCTGGGGGCTCCTGCGTCTACTGCAAAAGCGGGCAGCCCCACCCCCGGTTGGCACGAGGCGAGAGCTACACGTGTGGTTACAAGCCTTTCCGCTGCGAGGTGTGTAACTACTCCACAACGACCAAAGGCAACCTCAGTATTCACATGCAGTCCGACAAGCATCTCAACAACATGCAGAACCTGCAGAACGGAGGGGGGGAGCAGGTCTTCAGCCACACCGCTGGGGCGGCGGCAGCGGCGGCGGCTGCGGCGGCAGCAGCAGCCAACATCAGTAGCTCCTGCGGGGCCCCCTCGCCCACCAAACCAAAAACCAAACCCACCTGGCGGTGCGAGGTGTGCGATTACGAGACCAACGTGGCCAGGAACCTTCGCATCCACATGACCAGCGAGAAGCACATGCACAACATGATGTTACTGCAGCAGAACATGACCCAGATGCAGCACAACCGCCACCTGGGGCTCGGCAGCCTGCCCTCGCCCGCAGAGGCCGAGCTCTACCAGTACTACCTGGCCCAGAACATGAACCTGCCCAACTTGAAGATGGACAACGCGGCCTCGGACGCCCAGTTCATGATGAGCGGATTCCAGCTGGATCCCGCCGGGCCCATGGCCGCCATGACGCCAGCTCTAGGTGAGGATGACTCCGTGTTTGTCTGTTTCCATGGTAGGCATTTAACTGGGGAGAGCGGTGGATAGGCTGACATAGTCCTGTGGATTCACTTGACTCTGGTCTTCTCGAGTGGTTTCGGTGTAAACTGGAGTGTCATACAGTCAAGTATTTATTCTCAAGGATCCCTTGAACTTGGCGTGTCCATATGGAAGCGTTTATACATTCAAAAGAGATAAGATGGTATTCTGGCTATGTAGGGCCGGGATGAAAATGTGAGTGTTTCCTCTAGTTTTCTTTTCCATTCTCTCTTTCTTGGTCTCCTTTTCAATTTGAAAAATCACTGTAATCACCCAGAACTTTGGGGTTTCATCAAGTATTTACTGAAACTTACAGGAAACTGTAGCTGGGGCCGTCATCTCAATAAGAGGAATAGGGACAGTTATCTCAGTGATATAAATACAGTCATCTCAATAATAATAATCTCAGAGTGTACGTTATTCACATAAGCAAAGGCTGAGTCTCTGCTGAGCTGGGAACCACCCAGATGGACTTCTCAAAGTTCTCTGTGTATTTATGAGAACCTTGATGAAAGCGATGTGGTATTTTTTTTTTCTTACTTGTTTTTGGTGAGTACTTGGTGATTAGAATGTTGGGAATTAAATGGTTCTGGTGGCACTGTTGTGAGGGTTGTGAGGATGACAAATGAGTAAGTGGTAAAAATTGTCCATCAAGGAAAGTTAACTTTTGATAGCAGTTAGATCCTGGTTAGCAGAGTGAGTCTTTTTTTGCCGTGAAGAATGCCCTATGCTTTAGAGAAGCTGAGTTGGCTTTGTGTCCAGGTGCCAAATATTACCAATTAGATTACCATATCTGGAATAGGACCAAGAGTGTAGGATTTGGATGCCGAAAATTTTGAGTTTTTATGTAGAAAGAACTACAGCCATGTTGAGGATAACTTCTACTGCCAAAAAATTCTACAAATGGGTTTCATGAGAAGCTTCCGATAAGTGGGCCACTCCGGCCTCCACCCCGTATGCCTCAAACAGGGTCCTGCCTGCTCCCCATCCCCTGACCCTGCCAATGGACCTCGTGGGACCAGTGACGGTGGCCTGAATTGAGCAATATGCCATTACTGATGTGGGTATAGGTTGTTCTGGCAACAGAGTGTCAGTGAGAACCTTTTTCTGAGATGGCTTAGACGACTGCCGGGCCAGGCCCTACCAGTTAGCAAGTGTTTTTTTGCGTGGCGTTTTAGTGCTAATTGTCGCCAATGAGTTATAGTTCCAGGCATTCCATTTCTTTTTCTTGCTCTGTATTGAGTTTTGAATCGTTGGTACTTTAATCTTGTTTTACATTTTGAAACATTTGCCTTTTGATCGTTTACTACCAAATGATTCGAAGGTATTTGACCAACTGGCGAATCATGGATGCACAAGCACCGGTCATCTTACTTGTCCCCAGGTGAACTGTGCATGCCAGGGGATGGGCATCAGTGGTCTGTGTTTTTTAAAAAAACAGTAGGAATAGAAAGGAGCCATAGAATCTTGAAAGGCAGATCTTAGAGCAGATCAAACACAGTGGAGGTGGAATGAAGACAGAACATGGGTAAGGTTCATGTTGGGTCAAAGCAAGGCTTTTTTTTTTTTTTGAGATGGAGTCTTGCTCTGTCGCTGAGGCTGCAGTGCAACCTCTGCCTCCCAGGTTCAAGTGCTTCTCCTGCCTCAGCCTCCCAAGTGCCTGGGATTATAGGCACCCTGGCTAATTTTCGTATTTTTAGTAGAGAGGGGGTTTCACCATGTTGGCCAAGGTGGTCTTGAACTCTTGACCTCAGGTGATCCGCCTGCCTTGGCCTCCCGAAGTATTGGGATTACAGATGTGAGCCACCGTTGCCAGCCTAAAGTGAGGCTTTTTAATTACCTTGAGAAGAGATAACTAAGGCTTGGATTGAGAAGTAGAGAAATATTTCACGTTCACTCCAAGTGTCTGTGAATCTTTGGGGCATTATGCACTGTCCTGGGCATTGCAGCAGGTTCAGAAGGAACTGAAGAATGAGTGCTTGTGTTCCAGACAGACGTGGAAGAACTCTGTCCAGGCACCTAGTCTTACCAGTGGCTTACCATATCTAGAATAGGACCAAGAGTATAGGATTTGGATGCTGAAAACTTTGAGTTTTTATGTAGAAAGAACTTCTCACAGCCACTTTGAGAAGACCCACACCTTATTTCTTAAAGAGACTAGAGCTCTTTTTCCCAAGAGATTTATCCAGCTCAGTCACAAAGGGCCCTTGAATTTTCAGTGTCACTACTTCTTGGCTGAGGGGAGTCCCTGTACACCTGTGCCTTCCTTGGTCCATGAGAATTGCTAAGAAGGTGTGAGAGTCACAGATTCTTTATGCTGGAAGCTCCAGTGGGCCTGGGAACTGTAGTAAGTGTCCCAGAGACTTGGAATTTGAGTCATGTGACCTCATAGGAGAAACCAACTTATGCAAATAAAAACAGCCATAACTTTCAGTTCTACTTGTGGCTCTACTGATTTTTTTTCCCCATAATCCGCTTATAGGATGGCCGTAGGTGTGTCATTAGATGTGACTGAGTTCCGCAGGGGGAGAAAGTTTTTCTGAAATACACTTCTCCTCACAAGGACACTGTTCTCATGCTTCCCATTGGCAGAACCTTCTCTTTAGTATCATCAAACAGACACTGATTCTGGGGATGCTTCTTTTCAGAGGCCTTTGAGGAAAGAGTTGGGACTCCTTCACCCAGCACAGTCGGATCTGCTGTTCTTTGTAGACTGCACATTAGATTTGAGGCCTTGTGAACTTCCTCCCAAACCTTCTTTTTGACTCTGAAGTTTATTAGTGCAGCACCCAGAAAGGGGTTGCTTGGGGTGGCCGTGTGCTTCCCAAGTAGCCAGCCAGCCCCTGGACACCTGCACAAGGTTTCACAGCTCCCTTGTGTCTTCCTTTGATTCCAGAGAGTGCCTTTTAATCTATGTGCCTTCCTAAGGATGTGCCTTTGGGCGGGCTCACGTGTCAAGATGTAAGTTCCAGTGTTAGAGTTGGGTGTATACCCAGGGATGAGAACCTGCCCCAAGACCATGTATCTATCTAGCGTGGCTCAAGGCTAAAGACCGTTCTAGTCTTAGAGTTGGGTGTATACCCAGAGATGAGGACCTGCTCCAAGACCATGTATCCAGCGTGGCTCAAGGCTAAAGACCTGCCAAGTACTTAAAAATTTTTTTTTGAGTTGGAGTTTCATTCTTGTCACCCAGGCTGGAGTGCAATAGCGTGATCTCAGCTCACTGCAACCTCTGCCTCCCAGGTTCAAGCAGTTCTTCTGCCTCAGCTTCCCAAGTAGCTGGGATTACAGGCACGTACCACCATGCCTGGCTAATTTTTGTGTTTTCAGTAGACACAGGGTTTCACCATATTGGCCAGGCTGGTCTTGAACTCCTGACCTCAGGCGATCCTCCGACATTGGCCTCCAAAAGTGTTGGGATTATACGTGTTAGCCACTGTGCCCAGCCCCAGTTTCTTATGTTTAGGAGCTCTGCTCCTATTAGTGAATTGGGTGAGATTCCTCCACTTTGTGGCAGCTGAATTAGTTCCTTTAGTCTTAACGGATTTGTAGAATTCTAAGCCCTGGGCTTGTTTGTCTGAGGCATAGTTCTCGAAGGGAGTTTTCACTTGCCTGTCATCCTCACCCCTCTCACTACTCTGCTGCTTCTTTCCTTTGCATTTCATTTTAAGAGCCTAGAATGCTGGCCAGGCATGGTGGCTCATGCCTATAATCCCAGCACTTTGGGAGTCCAAGGATCGCTTGAACCCAGAAGTTTGAGACCAGCTTGACAACATCTCTATGAAAAACATTTTTTTAAAGATAGGCTGGATGTGTTGGGGTGCACCACCTGCTTGGTGTCCAGCTGCTTGGGAGGCTGAGGCGGGCGGATCACTTGAGCCTTGGTGGTTGAGACTACGGTGAACCCGTCCAGCCTGGGCCTGGGCAACAGAGTGAGACCTTGTCTCTTAAAAATAAAAAGAGCTTAGAATGGAAACTGGGACTTAGTTCCTCTGCTTGTTCCAAGGACTTCTCATTTTCACTCAGGCATCAGCAAGTGACAGCTGAATTTCTCTTTAGAGCAATATTGATGCGCCGAGGTTAAATCTAAAAAGTGGAGATGATTTGATGCTTCAGGTGGTTGGCATCAGAAACAAATATATGTTTGCTCCTTGTCTTACCCTCCGGGCAGTGTCTGCTTTGACTGAACACCGAGTATGTTTCATGGATGTTGCCTGGCCTTCGTCCCCGTTAAGGAATGGAGCTTTTAGGCTTTTTTTTTTTTTTTTTTTTCTGTTTTCTGTTTTTCTTTCTTGTCCTAAAAAGAATGTCATAGTTATGGTTCCTCTCACCAGGGGAGATGGGAAGACAGACAACAAGCTCAAAGCTTCCTAAGCCTTCTGGAATGCATGTGCAAAAGATTTCTATGGCTCTCTAGACGGTCTGTGAGCTTCAAACGCAGCTGCTGGTCTGCTTAGCAGAGCCTGTACTGATCTTTTCACTCGAGGTGACTTGTGTAGCGTAAATAAGAAAATCATTAAAAAAAAAAGGAAATATTTTCTCTGATGAGCCACTGACTTGGATTCTAATCAGTCATAAAAAATAAAATAACCTCAGCCCAACCACACATAAAAGGTCAAGTTTAAATATCAGTTGCGGGAGTGGGGGCAGAGCTAATAGTTCAAGCACTCGTGTGTTTAGGAAAGAGAAAGTAGACTCTAGTGCTCAGCTTTCTGTTTCACTGTACACTTCTAGGAACGGGAGGGAAGGCTGCTCTTTCCAAGCCTTTCTCATGGTAGAAATAAGGCCTTGCAGTGTTAATTTACCATAGCAACTGTGAGCTCGTCCCCGGTTTATGCAGGGCAGTGGTGGACTGAAAAAGTCCAGGGTAGGAGAGGAAGGAGGAGATCTTCATATGGCCCTTTTGTGGAGATGTGGAGCTGACCCTCGTGTCTCACTGCCCGTCTTGGTCCACTTCCTGAACATGCAGCATTCCCACTCTTTTTTTACTCTTGTCTGGGCATCTGTGCACTCTGTAGAAGGCCAGCGAGGATAAGACTGGACCCCTTTCCTAGGGAGGTGGTGCCCTGATGGGGATCCCATCTATAATGCCTCTCTGTGTGTGGGTGACCGAGTGACAAAGGGAATATGATAGGTCCTAGGGTAGCCCCGCATGTCACACAGGGCGGAAAGGGAACAGGTGGCCCTACTGGGAAGACATGGAAGGGTTGGCAGCATTGACTGACAGGTGGGTTATTGACCAGAGGGGAGTGGTGAGGAGTAGAGGGATTACTCCCCAAACCTGTTGTGTTTTGTTTTTTGAGACAGGTTCCTGCTCTGTCACCAGGGCTAGAGCTGAGTGTCACGATATCGGCTCACTGCAGCCTCTGCCTCCTGGGCCCAAGCGATCCTCCCACCTCAGTCCCTGAGTAGCTGGAACTACAGGTGTGCACCAGCATGGCTGGCTAATTTCTGTTGTATTTTTTAGAGACGGAGTTTCACCATGTTGACCAGGCTGGTCTCTCCTAGGCTCAAATGATTTGCCTGCCTTAGCTTCCCAAAGTGCTTGGGTTACAGGCGGGAGCCACCGCGCCCAGCCCTACTCCCCAAACCTTTGCTTGAGAGATGTACTGTCCAACTCAGGTGCCACTTATCACCATGTAGCTTCCAAAATTTAAATAACATTAAAAATTCCGTTCCTTAGTTGCCCTACCCATATTTCCAGTATTCATTAGTCCCATGTAGCCAGTGACTGCTGCATCAGACAGCACAGCCACAGAATGTTCCACGATGGTAGAAAGTCATGTTGGTTGTCACTGCCACTTCAGATGAATTCTGGGCCCGATTCTGATTTGCCATGAAGGTTTGGTATGCTAAGATTGCAGCTGTAAGTCATTTCTAATTTTGGGAGGTCTGGGGTTTGAGATTCTGTTACATCCAGTGAACGATACATAATTCTGTCTTTCCTTGGATCTTAGAGAGGGGGTTAATTGGAATATTAAAGAAGTAGCCAGGTGCGGTGGCTCATGCCTGTCATTCAGCACTTTGGGAGGCCGAGGTGGGCCGATCAGCTGAGGTTGGAGTTCGAGCCCAGCCTGGCCAACATGGTGAAACCCCGTCTCTACTGAAAAATACAAAAATTACTTAAGTGTGGTGGTGGGTACCTGTAATCCCAGCTACTTGGGAAGCTGAAGCAGGAGAATCGCTTGAACTGGGGAGGTGGAGGTTGCAGTGAGCTGAGATCATGTCACTGCACTCCAGCCTGGATGACAGAGCAAGATTCCATCTCGGGGAAAAAATATATATATCTATATATCTAGATATAGATATAGATATGAAGTTACAGTTTCTAACTTTTCTAGTGTTCTTTTCCTAAAGAAAGAAAATACAAAACCTGCCACAAATCTTAGAATGTCTGTAGGAAAGATTGAAACACATCAGGTTGACTATGTTTGCTTGCTTGCCTGCTTGTTTTCCAGCTAGTAGCCCTGTGTAACACTTGAAATGTGATCTTTTCCTCTGGACCCAGTTGAGGGTGGCAGAGGTCTGGGTGATGCCTCAGCAGTGGCTGTGACCATGAGCTTGGTCTCTGACTCTCTCCCTCTCTCCTTCCCCGCAGTGGGCGGTGAGATCCCCCTAGACATGCGGCTCGGGGGCGGGCAGCTGGTGTCAGAGGAGCTGATGAACCTGGGGGAGAGCTTCATCCAGACCAATGACCCGTCGCTGAAGCTCTTCCAGTGCGCCGTCTGCAACAAGTTCACGACGGACAACCTGGACATGCTGGGCCTGCACATGAACGTGGAGCGCAGCCTGTCGGAGGACGAGTGGAAGGCGGTGATGGGGGACTCGTACCAGTGCAAGCTCTGTCGCTACAACACCCAGCTCAAGGCAAACTTCCAGCTGCACTGCAAGACAGACAAGCACGTGCAGAAGTACCAGCTGGTGGCCCACATCAAGGAGGGCGGCAAGGCCAACGAGTGGAGGCTCAAGTGTGTGGCCATCGGCAACCCCGTGCACCTCAAGTGCAACGCCTGCGACTACTACACCAACAGCCTGGAGAAGCTGCGGCTGCACACGGTCAACTCCAGGCATGAGGCCAGCCTGAAGCTGTACAAGGTAAGGCCCAGCTCCTCGGGGCTCAGGCGCTGTCTATGAAAGGAGGGTTTGCCCCCTAACAGGCGAGTTTGGGAGCATTGGGGAGGAGACGGACAGTCTTGGGCATGGCCCCCGTGGCTGTTGGTTGGGAACCTGGAGTTGGGAGGAAAGTCGGTGGTGTCCACTTTGTCACCCGGTGGAAACGTGACAGGTTCAGTGAGTAGCTTCAGTGGCTGAAGGTTGTCTTTCTCAGTGCCCCATTTTGGGGCAGGTTTTGTTGACAGTGCCTCCATGGTTTTTTTCTTACTTAGGTGGGCTCGTTTGCATCCTCTACTCCTGTAATTTCCGTCTTGCTTTTAGACTTTTTCTGCTTTCCTTTTCCATCTCTTTATTCCTTTTTCTTTTCTATTTCTTCTTTCCTGGATGATCCTGGGGTGGCTTGTTCCTTCCTTCTTTCATGCATGCGTCCATCATCCCATCAACAGATATACACTGGGCACCTTCTGAACGTCAGGTACTATTCTGGGCACATGTCCACATCAGTGCATGAAATTGACCAAAAAAAAAAAAAAAAAAAAAAAATCCCTGCCCTCACGCAGCTTCCATTCTTTTAGCAGGAGATGGGTAAGAAACAATGAATAAATTATGAAACAGGCTAGAAGGTGCTAAATGCTGTGGGGAAAGCTGGGTCCATAAGGGGCCTCCTTTGTTTTCATTTTTGTTTTTTTTCTGTTGCTTCCTGGGTTCGATGCCCTTTCTCTTCCTTATACTTTTTCTTCCTTCCCTGGGCTTCTCCCATCCTCCCCGCTCCCTCTATCTCTTTTCCTCTTCCCTCCTTCCTGTCCATTTATTCTTTCTCTCCTCCCACACCCAATGTCCGCCCCAGCCCTTCCCTCTACTCCGTAGATGGTAACCTAGGAGGAGGTGCTCCAGATACTGTAAATAGTCCTTTCACTTGCACGGCAGAATTGCTCCAGACATCTCTATTGATTTTCACTGGACTTAAAGCCTCACCTTTTTCTCTAATCATCCCATAATGGCTTTAGTATGAACAGTCAGGTACAAATCGCCATAAATCTCCCTGGCCTCATTCCACACACCTTCCACTCCCTCACTCTGTTTCCATTTTCCTTACTCCTGTTATCAGCCTCTCCTCTTGCCTTTCACACCACTTCTCACATCTTTGGGCCCATGAGTGTTTGGTCTGTGCTGGCCCTGAACTAGCTGAGGCCCCGCTCTACTCAGCGTGATTTTAAATGGAGATTCCATGTAAGGAAGACGTCTAGTCCTTTCCCCATGTCGGCCTGTGCAGGGATTGATAACTGTACTTCATTTTACAGTTGCTCCTCAAGGTGTGGGGAGGACTGCGTAATGCTGATGAGAAAGCGCTTTAGGTAAAGGAGGAGAAGGCAGGAATGAGGTAGAGGGGATAGAACATTCTGGAACTGACCATCAATTTAGCTGTGGTGCAGTGAGGAAGGTCTGGACTCCACGCAGCCAATCCCCTTATCTCAGATGAGCAAGAACCTTGCTGGACTGGCTGAGTTTTGTGTCACCATTGAAAGAAAAAGACCCTTTGCAGTCAGTTTAAATTGGATGTCTGAACTGGCAACAGGATGGTGCCAACGTGGTCAAGAAAACCTGATGGAAAAACCAGTGGGAAAAAGAATTTCCAAAGGACCCGACTGAGTAAAATTTGTACAAAGGACTTGGCGTGGCCATTGAAGGTTCGCGCAACTTTGATGAAGGTTGTTTAGAGGTGGCACGAAGCTGGCCTCTTCCATCCAAGAAAAAAATTGCCCTTTAGACTCTAAAACGCACACGGTGGTGATTAACTCGCACGCTGCATCCTCCGTGCAGCTGGAGTCTTGAATAAGAGTCTGTCAGGCACTTGGCTTTGCTTCTAATGGGCCTGGAACTTGGAAAGGATTTGCTGAGAACATCCCATTTTGGTCCACAAAACTTGTCCACGGGTCACACCCAGAGAGTCAGGGTGAGGTGTGTATGGAAGACACGCAGTTTATTTGTGTGTTTCTGCACTATGGGTCTGTCCTCCTGGGCCTTCAGTTTTTCATTTCTTTTCTTTAAGTTAGAGGAAACTCTTGTTCAAAAAGATGGCATGGGGAGAAGGGTCCTGAGTGTTGGGGTGCAGGGTAGTAGGACGGGGACCCAGCACCCAAAGGAGAGGTTCCGTAATCGTGCATCTGGCCGGCACATCCCCAGGGGTGACCAGGGCAGAATTGTCTCTGTCAGGAGCCAAAGGTCATTAGTCTAGTCTCATTAGTTCTTGGGTAATGAATGGCCCTGTGCCTGCCGGGGATCCGCCATAGGGGGTGGGGAGCTCTCCGGCTCCCTCCTGGATGACATCTCTGGGATTATCATTCCCGTGCTTGCCCTGAGCCCTTTGTTCCCTCAATACGACTAAGATAAAACTTCTCTTGCCACCAAGAGGGGCTCCCTCTCATAAGGTTTCGTCAGTCCACTGATTTGGGGTAGGGATGGGAGGTGGTTTGAGAGTCACTTTTCCTCTAGGCCCTGGTGTGGCCTGTAGTAAATGGAGATTGATTGCATGTTATTTTTCCTCTTGCTAATGTAATCCATTAGCCCGGCACATGCATAATCAGTTTAGAGCACAGTTAACTGGATGTAATCGAGTTCTTTACTGTCTGCTAGAGAAACTGCTCCAGATGCAGCTGACCTGGGGAGGGCCCCGGGCTTCTCACACACAACCCTCCTTACTCACCCCTTCCCCACCCCACCCTGTCCCAGCTCCCTGTAAGATTATTCATGATCAGCCAGGGCGGCTCTCCAGAGTTGCTCTTTGTGGCACCCAGCGAAGTGGCGGTGATGCGTGTGGCTTCCCAGTGGGCCTCCCAGCGCTCTCTTTCAGCTGAGGCTTTTTTTCTCCTCCTGCTCCTTTTTCATGTTGGTGGAGACAGAACTGCATTCTCAGGAGATGCAAGCAGTGGTGTGGCTTTGGGTTTGTCGTCTGACCTCACCCTGGGCTGGAGTCGCTGCCCTTGCAGTCATGAATGCTAGTGCGTAGGTTGCTATATTAAGAGTGAACTTTCTGAAAGCCTGAGATAATTTCTCATCCAGAAATGAGAGAGGGTTGGGCTGATCTATAAAGCCTGGTGGTATTGTCTTCATTGCCTGGAGTGGTGTAGTTCTGATTTTTGTGTGATACTCATTTATGAATCAGGATTAAGGTTTAACCTGTTTTTTCCTCTGCACTCCTGGAAGTAGAGTGAAGTTAGGGGAAGGCTGCAGGGCCCGAGGCATCTGATGGAAGCCTCCTTACATTGTCTCTAGGCCCCAAGTTACTTCTGCAAAGTGCTCCTGATTGAATTCCTTGGGATCTTTTGGTCTGAAACAGCAGCCGGCTCTGGCCCAGCTCCTAGTGCTCACATGTCCACATCCTAACACCTACCCTGGTGAGATCCCTGTGACTGGCTGACACAGCAGGAATCCCAGAGGCTCAAGTGAAGCTTGGAGACTGGGCTCTTTCCGTCCTTAGTGACTCATCTGATCTAGAATGGAAAAGGCACTTTCTGTCACTGGTACTGAGCTCCCAGGTCCTTAATTCCTCATCCTTCTGCTTTCACATGTAAACGTATCACTCCTTTCTCAGAGGATGTACATCCTGGCCCCACTCCCGATCCTCTCCACCCGTAGAGATGTGGGTGCCCTTGCTCCTCAGAACCAGGAGAGTAGCTGCCACTGATACACGCCTGCCCCCTCTGCCCTCTCCCATGGCTAGTGTGGAGCCTGCATCCGAGATGTATGAGTTTGGAGACGGCAGGAGCTCTTCCATGTTGATGTTGCATTCCTGGCTAAGTGACGTCCATGACAAGCTCTCTGATATTTGTGCAACTTTCTGCCTGGAGGAGGAGGAGCATAGAAAGGGCAGTTGGAAATCAGGGCACACTCCTGCCATCCCCCAACATCTGTGTTTTGCTTTGATGTTTTTCTTCACCTGTGAGTCTTTGGAATGGAAATCTGTCAGCGTTAGCAGATAGATTCAGACCCCACCAGAATCTGTTACTCAAAACAGTTTCCAGATGGGGTTCCCTTGATTGGGCCAAAACTGGAGGTTACCTATTAATCTTAAGTTGTGCATAGAGGGTTGTCCACCATGGTGTTGGGTCTGGGCCACATGTGAGCTGCCCTGGAGCAACAAGGCACACAGGAGAGGAGAAGCCAGTGTCCACACCAGCTCTGAGTGGCCTACAGTAGGAGGCGGAGTGTGGTATTGATTCCTGCACATGGCCAGATTCTCCACATAGTGGATGTCTGCGCATGCTGTCCTAGGAGGATTGTGCAGTGTGGGAGGATGGAAGAAAACCTCCATCGGACTTTGCATTGCTTCATATCCCATCCTCACATCTCAGTTCTTTCCCTGATGTGTAAGAAACTCACTGGGACTCACACTCCCAGAAGGGCCATAAACTCATCATGTGGGAAATGGGCATATCAGAAAACATAGGCGAAGTCAGACAGCAATTTGGACTGAAATGTGCATTCTTGGTGCTCCTCTGTGGGTGCACTGCAGGGAAGTGGGGGTCTTAGAAAGACAGCTGCACACTTTATGCCCATAGGTAGTGCCTGGAGGCCTTTGTCTTGTGCTGAGAGCAAAAAGCATAAATCCCTTGGGTAGTGTCCCCTCCCTCCCCCGCACCCTGCCTGCCCGGTGTGACCACGTGTTTCAAACTCCCGTGAACGTGTGGTTTGCATCGGGATCCTGGAGCCTGTCTCCTCAAACCTTGTTTTCTCATTATTGGATAATTTCTTTTTGTTTTGTTTGAAGTACCTACTTCTGCCACCTCTCTCCCTACCTTGGTGCCTCCAACCAACAAATGAAAGGAAGGGAATGTTTTCCTACAGGTGATTTAGAAGGTGTGAAAGGCCAGATGTTTGGGTGAATTTTAGCACCTTTTACCTTCCTGCCCTCCTTCTCCTGGAGCAGCTGCAGGCCTGAGATTCATTTCCCCAACTTGATGGTCGGTGCTGGTGGGTCGCTG